GGTGCAGATTCATTAGTGACAATTAGTGCTTTTCAAATTTTATGTGCGGTAATTAATGGAGATTTTCATACGCCTCACTCATTCTACCAGGCCTGTTTCACTTTCCTTTTAATTTGCATTTAGTTACCCATAAATCTATTATTTTGAACATGAAGCCAATTCAATTTCAGAACATCTCAATCAATACTTTATATATTACTAATAAAACCATTTTGGAGAATATTATTAACTTATTTTGTTCGTATTTAATAATCAAATAATGTAGCAAACGATGACAAATGGATTGTTAGTTCTTCATTTCCTTGTGTGTCTGACAATAGTACGGAAGCATGTACAAATTGTTGCGTTTCCTTTTACTGGTCTGCCAAGGCCTGCACATATAGTGATATTTTTCTGCAAGTTTACCTGAACATATATAGATTTATAGAGTATTTGCAATGATTGGGAACTGAACGCCCTTACCCCTTCCTGAATATAGTCTTTTTTCCTCCTTTTTTTTCATAATATGGTTATGATCAGTAGGGTGTTGAAAATACCCTTAACAGATAGACCCTCCAATACTACATGTTCTCCTCTAACTGGAGTATATAATGATCTAAAAACAATTGAAAATTGTCCGATTTCATTTTCTGGATTTTTTCATACTCTGATACGGGTGACAAAGTAATGTTTATTGGCTTTAGTTAAAATGACGCTTATTACAGACTCAATTTAGTTTTTCTCTTCCCTTATCAAAAAATCATAATCAATTTAAATCACGTGAATGTGTACAAAGGAAGGCAGATTGCATCGTCGAAATGTAACGCGCTTTGGTTGAAAAAAGGGTCTACTGAATGATATTGTGTTAGAGGTGACATTTTCTAGAAAAGATAAAGCAATCATTTTCAGTACACATTAAAACTTGCGACATTGTCACAATGGAGGTGAAACAAATATAAGACCGAAAAAACTAAATTGGCAAATATACTGACACTTAACAGAAAAAAAGTCATATCCATTTCCTGAAACATAAACAGGTACATTCCAGTAAACAGTTAAGCCCTAATTTCAAAATAGTAAATTTTTCTTGAGTCAACAGCTAATGTTGAAATAGTGTTAAGATCCAATATTTCGATGTCTATCTAGAGCATCTTCATCAAGGAATAAGGCTATCCATATTGCACAGCTGATGAAATGATTATCTGAATCCTATTTTCCCGATCTTTCTTTTTATCAAACAAAGCCAAGAAGTTAATTTCAAATAAAAGAAAATATGGTTTTGTTATAGAGCGAACAGATGTGTCAAACGGCGACGACATACAGAGATCAGAAGATATTGTGCCCGAAAGGGTTAAACAGAAGTACACTGAGCGGTAGGTGAATCTTGACATTTTCATTTTTTTTAGCATGTAAAGACAAGAAGCAAGTTCATTATAATAAGCTCACAGAGTACCTACCCAGTGCATATCTTGGCGTTTTTCGTTCCATACATCACCATAAAATACGGCACACGTGTTAAGCTAATGCATCCTCCTTGGCGAGCCTTCCGTTGGATACTGAAAACCTGTCAAAACTGACAGAATACGATGTTTAACCAATCTAAGTTTCTCTCCTCCCCCCCCCTCCCCTCCCAATTTATTCCATTTTCAAAGGGCGACTACAGTAGCAAGTACAGAGTACATGACACGAGCATGCTCACAGGACTAAGGATTTCTTGCAGACGCAATGCTCCGAGGATGACAAAGCACATTCGAGCTCTGATACTAATGAGATCAAGCAACTACGGGACTAATTGAGGTGCACGCTGCAGTATGTCGGAAAAATTGGCGACATTTGGGGGAAGATGGCCCTTTCTATTTCAAGGGCATTTTTTAAAAATCTTTGTAGAAAATCATATTTCGGGGTAGTTATGTTCAAAATTTGATTTTTTTTTAAAAATGTGTATAACTACACCAATGTACATAGATTTATACCACAGGTTGTATTACACATGGAATCTAAACTTAAAAGCACTATTGGAAGTTTATGGCTGCCACATGGTAATTTTTTAAACAAAAAGAGACGATATTGGACATTCTTTTTTTATGCAACAGTGTACTTCAATATATCAACAAAACACCAGAATATCCTCTATTCAATTTTTTTTTATTCCTGATGTATTAAGATACTCTTTTACATCATTCATAGAATTCGGGAAACAGGAAGTCTCTTCATTCTCATGTTTGTATCATTAATGTTCTTGTTGAGATAATTAAACAGCCTAAACAGACTGTAAAACTGGTGGTTCATATCCATCTGGCCTCTCAATCTTTTCTCCAGTTTCAGTAGTGACGACTTTTGTACCAGAGCCTTCTCCGTGCAATTCCATGAATTTACCCACTGAGAAAAAATAAATTAAAAATTAGACGATTTCAAGAAAATTTCACAAATAACTTGGAAATGTTTTGAGACATATATTAAAGACAGGCACGGCATTTGGATTCCCAATTAATGGCAAGAAAAACGAATTCTACTGAAATGGCTTACACAGTACAAACAATATCTACCAGTCAAGCTGTCACTACACTTCAACTACAGTAGAATCTGCATAACGTGGGACCCAAGGCAACCAGAAAGTTTGCTTGAAGCAATGTTTTTTAATCATAATACCAAAGAAAAAAATTTGTTTCATAATGTTTGTTTGAAATAAACAAGATTTAATTTTAAAGTGATGAGGTATGCGGAGTTTACTGTATCTGTTAAATTGGAATTCAACAGCTGGTTCAATTTGTTTGGCAACACGACACCAAGCAAACTGGCTACAACTGCACAGACACTGATTTTTTTTTTTTCTTTAAATAATGATAAACACTTACAATCAAACTTGGGCTTCTTTAACACCTTCACCTTGCGAATGTACACATCATGCAAGGGGAAGATCCCCTGGCAGGCCTTTTCAATGTCCTTGCCAACGGAATCAGGGATCCTAGTGGAGAAAAACGTGATGAGATATTAACCGAAACAAGAGACTTCCAGGCAATAAGTGGTGCCTGAAAGGTGCAATGCAAAATAAAAGAACGTAAGTAGACTTACAATGCACGGTGATTTATACTACACAGTTTCAAAATTATAATAATACAAGACTTAAGTCTGGCTTTTCTGTGTTCAATATAAGGTACCAGCCAATATGCCATCAACTTACAGTTTGTTGACCACTTCTTTGAGGTCATTTGAAGACACCTCCCTGGTCATTATGTCCACCATTTTCCTCCTGATGGAGCGAACCTGGAGCGTAAGAAAAGAACTGTAAATCTGAAGGAATTTTGACCCATTTTGACTGAAATTGAACCTCTTACATCACACACAAAACACTATGCAAATCACTCTATGGAGTTAAACACTGTGAAAAAACATTTATACTTCATACATTTAAAGATACAAACAGCTAATAGAAATTCTTTTTCTGGATTTTCAAAAAAAAAAAAAAAAAAAAAAAAAAACCCCGACAATATTAATACTCTTTCACTTTCATCTTCTTCCATTTGATTTCTATTGGCTTTTAAGATACAGGCACTCTTCTAGAATAATAATTGATATCCTATCAATTTACCTGTGTGGTCTGAGCATAACATGTCTTCTTGATCTGGTTTTGTCTTTTCTTGGTAAAGCCAATACAGAACATCCTTAGCAGATAGCCATCAGTGGTTTTGACATCAACGGTTGCTTCAATAAGAGTCTGAAATGTAGGAAATTTGAGAATTTAATGATCAGCGGAAAATAGTCAATGTATTTTACAAAGGAAAAAACATATATATATATATATATATATATATATATATCCAAAAGAAACAGCACTGTAAATGCTACTTATCCGCTTAAATTTGTCACTGTGCTGTCAAGACATCCAAACAATAAGAGTTAATACACACACCAGTATGTAAACATCTGTTACTGCCATGCAGTGTCACATGCCATATAAAATAGTATATGTACTTAACTATGCCAAATATTTTGTGCCGTGTCACATACATGGTAATTGTACTTAACTACTAGGAATAATCAGAGTAGCATAACACAGTCATGTCACATTCGTATTGAGTGTCCATCCAGTAATAGTAGCAACAGTCATTTCTAATTGCAACCCTACCTGCCATTTCTTGACCATAGACCTTAGTTTGTCAGTTGTGAGGTTCATTCCATGGAAATTAGTGAGGACATTACGGCCCTGGACTTCTTCTGCCATCAACTTAAACTTGCGGAAAGACACCTCATCATTCTGCAGATCAGCCAATGCTACTTCAAACACACGCCCTTTCAAGCCATCAGAGGCAATTTCTGGAAAAGGGGAAAATCACAGTTCAGGGCAAATAAACATCCTGGACCAGCTAGTCTTTGAGTCAGAGCTCAGCCATTTAAGCATCAGCAGAATGAATGGAGAACAAGTGAAAAAAAAATCGCCTCTAGAAATCATATATTTTGGATGTCCTGGCAAGATAAACTAAAAGCTGACTAAAGTTATTAATGATCTGAAAATTAAATAAAAAAGGCCATTTTTGATAATAACAGTAATATTATGATTATTATTACTAATAATAATATTACCAATTAGGTACCATAACAAGCAGGGTCTAATACAGTTCCCACCATGACATCCATCATTTGTGAACAGAAACAGTTTCTACTCTTGCTTGAATACTTCCCACAATGAAATCTGTTATCCATGTACAGCAACAGTTTCTATTCTAACCTTTACTCCAAGCTTCTTCTGTCAACTCAAATGTAAAATTACAGAAGTGTTTACTCACTTGTTCCCTGTGTCCTTGTAACCAGGGTCTTGCCAATCTGGCGAATTGTAAACATGGCAGGTGCTTTCACATCATACCAGTCCTTCTTGGTGAAGGGGTCAATGCTAAAAAAGTAAAATAATGCATATGAAACTTCCTAGGGTTGGGACGAAGATCTACTTTAAAGAATAGCATGCTGGTTGAACGTGAATCTGTCTGGACTCGTTATGTCCCACGTTCATTCCTATGACTGACGCCGATTATAAATGACAAAAATATGTCTGCCAATATCTGGAGCATTGACAATATAAAACACACTTCCACAGATTTATTATATGATGTTTACCACGTAAAACACACAAAATATTTGGGCACAAGTATGTTTCAACTGCAGTCACCTGGATGGTGAGGTGACCATGTCCCAGCAATCCGACCATATCTTAAACATCTTCCAACAAATATACAAGATAATATCATATCAGAAAGATCAGGTTGTATTTTATTCTTAGTTGCAATATTACAAACTTACATCTTCTTTTTACTACCCTTCTTGCCTCCTTTAGAAAGCCTTTTATTTTTGCCTACCGCCATGTTGGAAGGCTGTACAGGAAAAGGTCGAATTGTTGTGTATAAAACAAGGACTCAGTAGTGGGCGAAGAGTCCATATGATATCGAAATATTAATCCATCAAATAAATGGTATTCATTTGATGAACAAAAACAAATAATCTTTGTGTATATGTAATCCTATTAGACATTCATTTCCATATATAACTAAAGTTTCTACATTTATCTCCCTTTGCCAAGCTTTTTCTAATGATCATCTCAAGCGTGCCTTGTCTTCCGGTTGTCAACAAGATGCAGGGAGAACCACAGCCGGCACAGCAAAATCAAACGATTCAGGCAGAACTACCAGCATATGAACTGCCGCCTAAATGGATACCATTAGATGAGGTATGTGCAAAACAAATAATCTCTTAATATATATGGTAACAGTTAGAGTAATCTAGACATGACAGCCAAGTTTAATACTAGTGAAATTGTGTTGTACATTGAGAACTTTACACTTAATGACTTACTGTACTGAGTTACTGGCACTGGGTACTGCCACTGGTACAGTTATCTGTTGAAAACTGTGGTAATTTTGAAGCTAAGCTACCAGATTTGTAGTGTTTTACTTGTGCTTTTGTCATGGAGAAAAAATATATATTGTAAGTCACTTGAAACTCAAAAACAGTGCAAAATAAAAAGCAGCAAACTAATACCAGTAGCGTAAACTGCTATATTTCATGAAAAAGGCTACCGCTACAACTGTAACTTAATCAGAATAAAGTTACTATATGAGAAAGCAGATATTTGCTTCTAATTTATTTTGCTTGTGTGCAGCAAATGTGCATAAAAAACATGTGAACATTTCTCATATTACCTCTTGCAGAGACAGAATCACCCAGACTACAATAATGATCTCAGGAAGTTTTTGCCAAGAGCTCTGAAACTGAGAAGAAATAAAACTACAGATCAGGTGATTTTACTTGAAGAACATGGTTCTGCATATTATTTGAATGATAAATGTATTAATATGGCTCTTTTCTTTTTAAACTTTTAGACATTTCCAGCGAAAATTTGATCACATTTAAGACATGTTTATCTCTGTAGAATGATAATTATAGTTGTTGTTTTTGTTTTTTTTTTATTATTATTATTATTATTATTATTATTATTATTATTATTATTATTATTATTGAATATACTGCTTTACACAATCATGAGGCTTTTTAAGACTTCAGACAGTGTGAAAAATTTATCACTTGTACTTTTTTTTTAAACATTTACTTTTGTTTGTTTCAGCTTGGTTTTAATGTAAGAGGAGGTAGAGAACACAACTGTGGAATCTATATATCAAAGGTAACAAATCAAATCTCTATCACTAGAAATTTCTTGATCTGCAAGAGGTCTCAAAAATCTATTTCTATAGAAATCTCAAGTTTTGATAAAGTACAATGAAGGTGTTTATTATATACTTGGCATAGAGTACGATGTTGTATTCAGGGATTTGCTATGTGGTTAAATTACATATTTACCTCCCAGATCCCATAAAAAACATAATATCTACCTTTGACGCCCCTACCCAATTGTTTGATAATGTTCCAACCAGTCACACACATGATAACTTGAAGTTGTCCCATTGTTTTGATATCAATAAAATATAAATCAGCAAGATAACATACTGACCCTAAGCCAAGTCAATAATTGTATAATATGAAATGAATGTGATGAAAAAACAGTCCTATTTATGTATATTTTCAATTTTATTTATTATTATAATTATTTTGTGCTTAATTATCTTTCCTGCCATTACATGATAAACTCCTGAATGTTTTTATATCCTACATTTTCTGATTTATGGTCATTTCAGGTAACCCTGTTCAATAGTTAAAAATTGATGATTTTCTTTTTATTTAATTATTTAATATTTTTCATATAAATCTGAAGGTACTTCCCAACACTGATGCACAGAGACTAGGACTGAAGGAGGGAGACCAGGTGAGATTTTCTGTCAAGCAGGGCTTTTCCCAAGATTGGGGGTACAGGCCGTCCAAAATTATCACCTTTCATTGCCTACAAAATTTCAGGGTGTCCAAGTAATCATTTTTCAAAAAAAAAAATTCAATAGCCATTCAGCTGCCTTTGAAAATATTGGCCAGTGACTGTGCAAATGATGGCTGGACGGTTTGCTGAGAAAAGCCTTTCTGTTAGGACAACTGCTATTTGCTTGTTTTACATACATTGATTCAGGAACCATTGTTGAGTAATAACATAATAATCACAACATCTTCATGGTTTTTGCATTATTTTCTGTTTGTAAAGTAAGGTAGAAGTGAGTGGTGCCATCTTTTTATTGATCGACTCAATGTAAAATGAATGAATAAAAAGATAACAAGCACCCAGTATTCAGCTGTAAGCCCATTTTGAGAATGAGTGAAAAAAATGTTCATTTAATTTACGTCAGGCATCAACAAACTTTCTTTTATCACTCGTCCCTGAGGAAAGCTTTGACATATAAGTCTCTTTATTTGTTTCTATATTAAATAGGTATCTAATAAAAAAAGATGCCACAATATACTTATATCTTACTTCTGCAGTTATAAACAAGGTGGAGTCATGGATTAAAGAAAAGGTAAAATAATATATGCACATGAGTAAAAAACATTAATGAAGATATTCCATTAATTTTTTCAGATAATAACTGTTAATGAAGCAGACTTCCTGAATGTTGAACATGCAGAGGTCAGTATGAAATTATGTCTAATCCCACTTGGGGATTATCTAGTAGTAGAAATGAAGACCAGATTTATAAAAGAGCAACTATAAAGTTGATGTAATTTTGTTATATAGTGTTTTGTTTAAATTTAGGAGTAGATTCAAATCAGTAAATGCTGAAAATTGATGGATGTAGTTTTAATGTGTTTAGATTAGAAGCCTTATTTTATGCAGAAGTCTTGAGCTTAATTTATTTAAGATACTAATATGAAAGAATAAAGTTTTAAAAACATTAACATTTGGAAATATATCTTAATGACTGACATTCATGTTCATTTTTCAGGCTGTAAAAATTTTAAAAAGAAACTTAGATGTGCAATTGACTGTTAGATATTTTCCATATGGTGAGTATTGTTACAGTAAGACCGCATTCACATCGAGTTGAGCCATGGATCTACAAAGCCACGAACTAAATATGGCGGACGTACATGAAAGGAAAACCGCCTAATCTTTTAATAGTCTCTCCGCCTCTCACACGCCTCCCCATATGTCGTCCCAATGGAGCCGAGATTTACTGACTGTACCCCCGCAAAAAATGCTAGGCAAATTCTGCCCAAGATTACCACCCCTAAAAAAGGAAATGCCAATAAACAGATTTCAATAATAGATTCTTCAAACATGAACTAAAATTCAAGGTTTTACACTATTACACCAAAGCCTCATTCCCTGATGACAGGATTTGGAGAGACATTGACGTATTGAAATTGAAATTGCATTTAGTATTCTGTGTTTAAGTGAATAATGAAGTTGATGAAATTCTTTGTGAATAAAGTTAATAGTGATATTTTCTTAAAGGGATAATAACTTTTCGTATGATATCTATATTTTACAATAAAAACATTGTGAACAACTCGTAGAAATATAATATATTCTGTTTTACCACAAAAAACGGCAGTTATAGCTATTATTCTGATATCTGAGCTTGATGTCAGATCACGTGACCTCCATTGATGGCTGTATTCGGTTATAATCTCTTAAGAGATTTAAACAAAAACCAAACTTTTTAGAAAAAAACCAAGGACTAACTTTGAATGTAAAAATGGATTCATTAACCATTGGTAAGTATGGGAAAATTGTTGTTTACTCCAGGAAAATTCATTTTTTGGCCAAAATGAAGAGTTATTATCCCTTTAAATATTTTTGATTTTGTTAATTTTAAGTATCAAACTCCTATCATGCTAGGGCTCTGCTCACATGTTGTATTCTTCTTTAGGTTATGATAGAACATATGGCAAGATACGTCCACTTCGGAGTGCCACCCAGTAGAACATGCTGCCCTGGATGTTAGATAAACAGCTGCCATTCATTCCAAAGCCAATACTGTTATTATTAGTGATTTTTTTTCATTATCATCAAACCACATCACAATACTCATATTAGAGGCATCATTGGATGAAAGATCTTTAATTTTTTTATTTTTATGGGAAGCTTCATTTTGTATTAGTTTGTAGATTGAACAAAGATTGTTTGTATTGAGACAGCTGTTACAATTTTTTTGATATTGGGGAATATTTAAAATGAGTACTTCTTGGAGTTTTTTTTTTTTTTAGTAATTTTCATGTACTTCCAGATTTTGTGAAATATTGACAGGATCAAGCAATTTAACTTTTACATGAGATCAAGTCAAGAGTATATCATGCTTCAAAGTAGTTAGAAACACATTTCATGATATCAAGACCACCAAGAGTTATGTTTAAAGAGACATTTGTTCATATTTGCCTGCTATAATTTTATCTAAGCTGTACATAAAAAAAAAAATTATAAAGCAGAGAAACACTTTATCTTAATTGTGCTTTATCTTAAATATAATTGGTTGGATTGACTTCACATCACTGTCCAACTAATGAATAATTTTTAAATGATTATTTTATTTTTTTAAATTTGTACAGCTGGTTACAGACAAATTTTCAATTAGCTTGATGGAAGAAACAAAATGGAGTCATCACAACAAATGAAACTGATTATCTTTATTGCATATAATCTGCAATCAATAAAACAGAAAACTGAAAGAAAGATAAAGTGCTAACAGACAAATGTGCAACAAACCCAAAAAATAATCACAGAGAAAATAAAACATAACATGGATAAAGTATGGCTTGGCCTTTCAATTGTGAACACTTTGACTGTACCTTCAAGCCAGCTCAAGTTGTAAACCCTGCTATGCAATAAAATTATATTGCACAGGGGAAATAATAATACTAGAGAAATACTGAAAATAAGGCTATAAATATAACCAGAGAGGTAATACTGCACCACTAGCAAGGTTAGGCACATCGAAGGGATTATAACATAGATGTAACTGAAAAAGCTTCCAAAAAGTTTTCATATCTACTACCAGATATATTTTATTTATATGGCTATTTGCTCTTTAAAATTTTTGATATTTCCACCACTGGAGAAAATGTGTTAACAATAAAAGTGCAAAAAAAACTGGCTGGTGGTACAGTAACCCTTGTTCAAAAACCAATTCTTTGAGTCTAACAGTTGAAAAAAATCAATACTCAAAAACAAGACTGTTTACCGTGCATGTAGGTTTCCTATAACTTAAAGATTAATTTAAAAAACGTGCATATGAAAAGTATTTAATAATTCTTGGCAAAGGACTTCAACTCTGCTGTATCATTTTATACTAATGATTGACACAGTCATCTTATTTTAAAAGCTTTCAAGCTTAACTTTTTCTTCTTACACAAAAGTTTATAAGAGTAATAATCACATTTTTTTATCTTTAAGCATGCAAATATGGCGATCATAATGAAGTTAATTATGGCCTTTCAAAAACGTTTCAAAACTACATATTCTAAAAACTTTTTTATCTGCATGTATGAAAATCAGTTTTGTTAATGCCTGTTTTTTTAAACATTTTTCAAAATGTACATAAAAATAAGCATTTATTTTCATTAGCAATCCAAAATACACATTAAAAATAAGAGATACCTATATCAACATATAGGAACCTCCTATATCAACTTGAACATCAACAGCTATAGTGAAAGACTGCAAAATAAAACATACACAACCTGTTACAGACCATAGCAGCGTGTATCAAGTCTCCCACACTTTACTTACATTCAGCCAGCTCCACCCCAAGTCTCAGAGACTATTTGATTTGTAATCAGAACATTTTGGATCAAAGAAGGGATGCACTTTATGACAGGTTTTATATCAAAATTCAGAACAATAAGCTTTTTATGTATGAAAAGAAGGAACAACCCTCGAGAAGAAATGGCAAATTTCAAGTACCAAAAGTCATGAGTAAATACTGAAAAAACTTTAAAAAATTGACCCTTTTTCATATTCAAGTTCTTCTAAATGTCTTAGAAAAAATCAAATTTTTAAAGATTTTATTGAATTACCAAATGTAGTACAAATGTTAGATTTAAATATCCTGAAACATCAACCTTGAAAATTTTGAATAAATTATTATTACTCAATATCACCATGTAACTGCCTTGTACAATTTCTGGACACAGCAGAGGCATGTTGATAAGACAGAAGCGAGTTTCCAGCAATCTTTGACACTCGGGGTGCTAGGGTCTTCCCAAGCTGAACAAGACTTGTGTGTGCATTAAAATGTTTAATACAAACACCCTGTAAGTTTGAACCTTTGACATAATGTAGCAGCATGTGACAAAAACTCTAGTATCCCATCACAACAGTTAAGCCTAAAAATTTGCTGGCCTAAATAATGTGACCTGTTAGCTTACTATACTGACAAACTGTTTCAATTTTACTGGTATTTGGAATGGGACCAGTGTTTACATCACTGGTATAACTGAAATAGCTGCAGACTGGCAACCCTGCAAAAAGAGTGATACTCGACTCCCATCCGCTATGTTGACATTCTTCGTAAGTCAACTTCTTGTAATTTGGAAGATCTGGAACATAGGACTGTCACAGCAAACGCAATATGATTATATTTCAGTTTCAAATGGCACGAACTCCACCCTTGCATGACTTCCTGTAAGACTTAGTATGATGAATTATGATAACTGCTTGTTAGTTCATGGCGTGACAAGAACTAAGACATGAAATATGCTACAGTCATGACATGTTTGTGCAACAAAACAGTCTGTACAAATGTGTCACATCTGTTGTGATGTTACTGTGCCTTGCATACATAGCAATTTGTGTAGTGACATTTGACAGTATCCTAGGCGTTCACTACAAAAAGTCTCAAAATTGATTGTCAATTGCATGAAATTTATATTCACATCATGACAGGTTTTGCCTGCACTAGGGCTCATCACAGCATTTTTGGTGGTGAAATTTCATGTTCACCATTAAACCTCCATCTGTAGTTGTTTATATTTATAAACAGACTTTTCTGTCTCTGTATATATATATGAGGTGTGGTAACAAACTCCAGTTAGCATATATCAAGATGCAAATTACATTAGATATTGTAAATAATTGATAATAATGAATACATTCAAAATATTTAGTTTCTAAAAACACTCAATACTTCTGGAGTCTCATTTAGCTATGACATAGTGTTCTTGATTAATTTCAAAATGGAATGTCCAACTAGGTAAGAGATCTATTTAAAGTTAAGATACTTGAAGATCTGAAGAAAGTTATTATTACTATTCTTATACATCTAAAATCGATAATAACTGTACCAAAAAAAAAAAAAAAAAAAAAAACACTGCAAGAGGAAATGAAGTCAACTTGCCACCTTCAACTACTTTGGAAAGTTGTGTGATCAGATGACAGAGGAATAATTGGGTCCTTCTGAAGTCTGGTCACACATTTATGAATAAATAAATATTTATTTTAAATAAATAAATAAATAAAAACAGTTATTGTATAGTGACCATATGATTCCCTTCAAAATGTAGCCTAACATGAAACCTTTTAAAGCCTAAGGCTTATTACGCTATGAAAACCCTAGCCTTAAATACCAAATGACCCAAGCCCCTGCACAAAATAAGACACACACAACCGAAGTTTTAGTAAGAAGTTAAGAGACAATTTTAGGTGTCTATAAAACATCATCCATTAATATAAAGATTAGAGTTATATAAGATTATATAAAAGGTTTTGGGAAGGGATTTCCATCTAATATGTGTATAGATTTTTGAAAAGATTACATTAGAGATCACATGTCAGAAGACCATGGCAAATGTGTTTTAAAACTATTTTGAGCAATTAATGTATAAATATTATGTTTTTGTTTAACTTTGGAAGTACAGTTCTTTCTTGGCATTATCCAAGAATTTATTTTATTCCCTTCTAAAACTAAATTACTTTCCTATAATATCATAAATTATACAGATCTTGGCATTTACCATCATTAAGTTTCCCTATATATGATAAATCGCTTGTATATACACAAATATTATACATCTTCATCATGAAAATCGGATAATTTGAAATTTTCTTCATCTTCCAAGGATTCTTCAGATTGTGCAAGACTGTCTGAGAAGGCTTTGATGTGGTCATAGTTAAGACGAGGTATAGTGATCTGTTCTGGATATATCCAGGGCTTGAAACTGGGATTATTCTTAGACTTCCAAGATTCGTAATTTTTGGCCGCCTTCTGCAGTCGTTGTATAATCTGAAAATGAAATAAAAATGTACAAATCGATCCTCAATAAAAGCTTTTCTTATGGTGACATATCTACAACCATTTGAGTTGATCCATATACTATAGCCTATATAATAAATGGCAGGAAATAATTGCACATTCAGCTTTTTATATGACAAATAATTTCTGGCATTAAGTATCAACTTTATCAAAGAGTCAACCTTGTAACAGACAGTATGCAGGTACAAAACAGTTATTCCACAGTGTATTTCCTCCCCATTAGAACATAATACAATGCTATCTGTCTTTTATAAGAAACACAGAACTAAAAAATTTTACTGAGGAGAAAAAACAGAACAGTAAACCATCTACAACAAATGTCAATACTCCTGCATCTTAAATCAAGTGCTCTCAAAATGGTATTCAATTTACAATGTAGCAACAGTTACAATGACTCCTAAATGGCTCCAGTCTGCCACCAAAACACCACATCTGCTACCATTTTATTGCGAAGTTTCACATTCATGCTAAAGACATTTTACATGTAGATCACTTAATAACCATCAATTTTACAACAGATATCATCTTTCATCCTCTCTAGTGATCATGAACCTAGCCCAGAAAATCCAATGATCAGAAAATTTGATAGCTCTATGGATGCTGGCAGAGATTCTCAACAATGAGCAGTATGGAATACAGCTCTGACTGATTATCAAACAATGAAAATCCAGACACAAACACTGTCATCTCTACCTTTCTAGAAATCAATGAAATGTCTATCTATTAAATATGACTGTCTGTTTGACTTGGCTTATAGCACTAACCTTGTTTCTCATGACATATTGATGTTTCCCACAGTCAAATGCATTTAGAAGTGATTTTAAACATGGAAGAGGTGCAATTGAGATTTTTTCCCCCTCAATCATTAATTCAACTTTCTAGTGGCAAAATCGGTCAAACAAGAAGACTATAATTTTCCCTTACTCTCACACTAAACACATTGACAATGTTCTGAATAACAAGCCATTCAATTTTCAATGCTTCAATTAATTGTTGCTTGGCTTTAATCTTTTTAAGAGGGATTCAAAACCATTAAGCACTTTATATTAACATGATTTAACACTTGGGTCCCATTCTAATCCATCATTACAAAAAATATTTGCAGACTTAATCCTGGAAGTTGAAAGTTTTATAGGGAATCTTTGTAGAAAAATAACTGACAACACTGCTGAGCAGTAATCAGTCATCTTCTGGGACAAAATAAACTCCTTAAAATGATCAAAAACATTTTATGTTTGCCAAGATTTGAAGTCAAACTGTACAATAAGGTGAAAATTTTAATTTTTTCTTTGTTGTTGTTGTTGTTGTTGAAAGAGTCCTGAATGCAGTTTCGTGATCTAGGTTTACTCACTAGCATACAACGATATGGTATTAAGTGGAATGATAGTTTGCTCCTATTGTTCCTTTGGTATCAGCAGTGCCACCTTACTTTTTACTTAACACAGGAAAATATCAGTATGGGGCAACCTTAGAAAACAGAAGTGTACTAGAACACCTAGTTTGAACCCTTCAGATGGTGTTGTGTAAGGTAGTTTTAACCCTTTAGATGGCATTGTGTAAGGTGTTATCCAGGGTCAAATCCATGGGGTTCTAATGGTTATTGCTAAAAGTCTATGACCCCATTCCCAGAGATTAGATCGATCTACTTTAGACCAACCCAACTCCCTGGGGGTTCACGCTAAATAGCTGTCAGCCGAGCGGGCACGAAAGTTAATTACCCCCTTACAGCTTGTAGTAGGCGGGACGGACATTTAAGCCGGATTATCTGACAGTAATCTAGTGAGACTCCCCGTATGGATAGATTGATCTAAAAGCTCTGGGAATACGCCCTATGACTTCAGGATTCAAATGGCATGACAGGCCAAAGACACTTTGTAGAAGGGAATCAGATGATGGTGTGTGTGTGTGTGTGTGTGTGTGTGTGTGTGTGTGAGTGTGATACTCTCACTGGAGTTTTCCTAGGATCTGTAGCATTGACCCTTGCTCCTTTCCTTAACTTGTGTGTCACAGATTTATGCAAAAACAGATGACGCAAAACTACACAATTTGCAGAAATGTTGGTGCTAAACATTTAAAATTGTTACCTTAGGAGCCAGCATGGTTGTAAGTTTATTAACTCCCCAACTTGGCAATTTGCCTGAAATGTAAAAATTGTATAAATTTTACAATTGGTTCATTCAATAAACTGGCAATGACTGAAGAATTTACTTTTATTCTTAACTTTTTTAATGCTTCCCAAGTAGCAAGTATAATCAATATTTAAAAAATGCACCTTAAACATTAATAAATTCAATGGCTTAAAAAAGTACCTTTCAAACACATTGGCAAGTAAAGCGCTCTTCATATTTACAAAACCACTCAATTTTATCCCAAACAAGAGAAGCAGTACTCCTGCAGCATATTTTCAGGAAATAATCTTTAAATGCACATTTTTGCATGAGATAAATGGGTAACTAAACTCAATTGATCGTTCCTGTTATGTGATAGCTTGTGAATAATATGCCAAAGTACACAGACAATTGGACTATAGGGTGCAATAAGCTAAAATATGTTAAATTAAGAAAAAATGAAAAAAAAAAAGAAACATCTTTTATCTAATTAATTTGCAAAGTCTGATAATCATGATCGTCCTATGTTTTGCTGAAGTTGCATTTTCAGCTGGCTAAATTGAAATGGATTTGTGCTTGAAGTCAAACTTGATATTAGTCTGACAGTATTTATCACATATTGGTCTGCCTAAATTAGTCCATAATAAATGTAGCACACATATTTTAGCGTGCTATTCCAACCACACAGCTGTAAGCCATTGTCTAGACAATATCACACTTGTAATGGAAATTCATTAATTTTTTTAATGGAAAAACAAAATGTAGGTCATCTTTTAGAATTTTGTGGAATGCAACATGTGGATTGAAATCTTTTCAAGCATCCTGTTAAAGCAAATTTGAACTTCAGTAATTTTATTTCTTATTCATTGTTTTTTCCCAAACATGCAAAGTGTCTTTATTTTATATTCATATATTTTGTATGGCAAGCCAAAGCTAAAAGTGCTTTTCAATAGACAGGATCATGTTTCCAAGTACATAAGTGATCAAAATAAACACACGAACCTGACCTTGAACCCAGCTTCGATTAAATAAAACTGCCAGGGGAGGATTAATTCTTGGGGCTTATTTCAAAAGCACCTTCGTTCAGAGCCCTCTTTTCAACAACTTCACCCAACAATTGAGGCTTTAAAATGGCACAATAGTGAAGACGCTTTCAAAATTATCTTCCTCCATTAGTTTTGTCAAATAAATTTCCTTTTCTTGATTCCAAAAGAGCTACAGGGTGTTCATCTCTCTGATGTCAACCACATACCTTTAGGATCACACTGTGTCACATAGTAAAGTTGGCAACCCTTGGAATTTGATTCCAGCGGGCGCATCACATAGCCCGTGAGATAGGACATGCCACGAAGGAAGCCCTTCTTGATTGGAACTAACTAAAATAAACAAAATAATAATAAAAAAAAGCTTTGTACATGTTGTATCAGGTATGCACGTGCCTGTGTACAAAGCTGTGTGTGTACATGTATGTGTGAGAATGTGTGCATGTGAAACAAATGCTGTTGTATGACCTATAATTATTATTATCAGTCATTACGCTAAAAAAAAAATTTTATCAGAAAACTGATACGTACATCAGCCGACAAGTGATAAATGGATAGATTAGAATTGTCAAGTGAGCATTCATTATTTGGTATTGTTAATTATTAAAACAATACTAGTAAATGAACTTAGCAGTTCTGTTTCCCACCTCATGGTTAACTGAATGATTGAGAATCAAATATTCCTTTTCTGTTGCTAGCCATGACCTTTGAGTGACAAAGTCTCTGTTTCTTATAGGCCCTGGACATTTAACTGCAAATAAAACAAATACCATCACATTATGTCACATACATATAATACATAACAGTGCACATACACTGTATCAAAAAACCCTACTCTAATCCCTTTGCTTACATTCATCAATAATAACAGAAGCGTGGGTTTCTGACCTTTCTGTATGCACAAAGGAAATGTTTGATTTGAACAGCTGTAAGAGAACTAGTCAACTCAGGTGAATACTCAGGTATATGGCTTATTCAGCTGTACACCTGGATCAGCTGTTAACTTCTGCTATGTCAAGATTGTAACTTAATACATCAACAGTTTCCAATGAAATTCACTGCAAGAGAGTCATTTATTCATTATTTTGTCTCAATCAGAACCTGGGCATATCAAAATACTCATCTGTGGGGGAAAACATGTAATCCTTCCTTATTGGACAATCGATTCAAACTGGAAATTATAACTCTTTTCCCCCTGCTGAGGGAGGAATAGTTCTGCCTCTTAGCAGAGATTCACATTATCTACATTGAGATCATTTTGTCAGAAAGACCATCTTTTCTGCAGGTTCTTGAAGAAGAGGGATAAAAATATTTGCATACGTTTTAGATAATACCCTCAGCAAAAATTACTCCTTGAAGCCTTTTTATCAAGTAGAGTGCTAAGACATTCTTAGTCAATTCTTTTTTTATGTAAAAGTCATCTGATTAGTCAAACTAGAAATGTAAGATATTTCATAATGACAAAATTCTCGACGAACTTCAGATTAAGTGCAAATTTTTTATCCACTCGGTGCCCCCCAAATCATCGATTCTCTCCTGTTTCTAGCTGGTTTAATCAAGTGGGAAATTGTTACAGAAAAGAAAAATGCAATTTAACGAGGAAGATTCGCCCTGCTTAATTGATTTCCTCTCTGCTATGACACTGATTAAGCTCAAGCTTTGGAATAATTGATGGGTTTTCCTTGTTCTCTGTGACGTGAATAACACTTGTCTAGGACTTGGTCAATTGCCTTTAATTTCACCTGTCTGTTGGTAAAACCAAGTTAGCCTACATTAAAATATGCCTTTTGTGAAGCAACTTTGAAGAGATAAGACATGTACTTGTTGTAATATAACTGACATCTAAGAAATTGACAGCCATATTCAGTCACTCACAATCCACATCAAATTTTTTACCCTAACAATTACTTGTTCTTGAGACCTGAAGCCCTTATGCAATTATTCAATTTCATGAATTCAACACATTTTAAATATGAAAATATGATAAGAGTGTTACCAAACTGGTAAACAAAACTGAATATTGGACAATTACTTGAACTGAATACACCAATTGATTTTAGATTAAGAATGAATTCCCTGTGCGAGTCAAGACATTTTTTCTCAGAGCCGAACTTGAAAATTGGATTGCTATCTAGAGAAGCAATCAAACCCTTTGGTCATTTCCATGAAAAAAAAACATCACAAGGAGAGATGAAATGAACCCAAGAAAAAATACTTTCATCTCCCTACCAAAAGCATCATTGACCTAGTCACTTTTTAAATGACTGTCTGCATGATATCTGAATTATCTCTAACTGTAGATCCATTATAAATTAATGGGAAATGCACTTCATTTCAAAATTTTAAGTTCTTTAGAGGGATATCATAGTTCAGTTGAATAATAAATCAAAACTCAATAAATAATTTTATATCTCAATATTCCTATTTTACATTTTACAAGATTTGGCTGTTCAAAAAAAAATCAATAAGTTCAAATATAACCACTGATTTAAAAAATTTAATGCATGAGAGGAAATAAATAACATTTTATCATTCAATAGTAAGTCTACCAAAAGTGCACCACAATGAAATGTACACTGCAAGTAATAAAATACAAACCAAAATTTAAAAAATACAAGGTGAAAAAATGGGAGATATATCACTTAAAACAATAGCAATAAAACATGCTCACTGGAGTGTAAGAAGACTGCCCCTCTTTTTTTGTTCTTAGGGCCCATAATTTATGAGCTATGGTCACTTTCAATCTATCAGACTCCAGATCTTGACAGTTACAAATGATTGATTGTTATGGGCGTGGCACTTGCCAAGTGTGGCACTTGTCAAGCAAAGACAAGTGTGAAGACCCAAAAAGTTCAGTCAACTTGGACGATCCGCAACTTACAACACAACAGACATACAGTAAATGCACAAGTTTTAGTTGGACATAAAAAAATCAATTTCACCATTTGTCATCATTTGTCTTCTCTCTGTATTTATCAAAATATTTTATAACTGAAAGTTATTGATATCAAACATGAATAAATAATATAAATAAATAATATAAAATAAATGTACATGAAACAGTACTAAATTTCTGGACCATATGTTTTTAATAATGCTATTTAAAAACATATCATACACTCACTTGCATAATACCCAATATCATTGTTTGGATTTAAACAGCAAACCTCAAAGCCCTCTATCATATTTGTGTCCCATACTCTCCTATATGATGGGTCATGAAGAACATCATACATTACATCTGCTGGGATATCTTTAAATGTGCTAAAAACCTGAAAAAAGAAAAGAAATGAAAATTTAATACAGTACTTTAAAATTGCGCTGACTCAATTTAAGATTACCTATATATGCAAGTCCTGCAAAACTACATGATACTTGTAGTGAATTGTGTTTTTCTGGTTTTATTAGAAGAGTAAAACCTTCAGTTTTACATTTCATTAGGCAGTGAGGACAAGAAAGCAATCATAAAAACCATAAACGGCTTTATTAAAGAAAGCAATTCATTTGGCATCCATGGGGATACTTAATACTGGCAAGAAATACATCAAAGCTTTGAGGAATCCCCATATAGATCTTCTATTATGAAGTATTAATGCAGTCTGCAAAGTTAACTAGTGTCAGTATTAATTGATCTGGATCAGTGAAATTTCTGAAAAACGGTCATGTAGTTACTGGCCCGACTGGGACAGTGGATTTTTTCAGCTGTAACATCTACTCCAATATGTTTTATAAATGTTCATGCTAAATGTCAGTTCTTGTTGAATCCCATGATTCTTATTTTCAATTTTTTCTTATTTTTAACAAGAAGTCGGTTTAATGTCAATGTGTTAATCTGAGTAATTTTCTTTTTAATTGGACTTGGACCAGCAAATTTTGGTTTGGACCAGTAGATTCTCAGACCCTGGTGACCAGGATGGCCTGCAAGTCGAAAAGTTTTTGGCACAGACTGTTAATGATGCCTGTATTGTTTTTAACGCTGGGAAATGCAGTGTAAAGTATAATACACTACTGCTTATTGGCAGTCCTGTTATGCTGCAATGAGTGAATTTGGACAAATAGATATGACTATCAATTATTCATAGGGCACAAATATTCATGCAGCTGAATGTTCAGTATACTAAGCAATCAATCTTACGTTAAATGTGACAGATCTAACTAGGTACTATTTTCCATAACCTTTTCAATTTCTATAGCTTTATTTTCATGTCACATAAAAGTTACATTGTTTACTGACAGAATTATACATTCTCCTTTAAAATCACTAATAGTATAAATCGATCTCTATACACCCAGGGTCCATAACCACAGTCTTTTAGTTTGCAAATCAGATTCCCATTATTAAAGATTTAAGACCTAAAGTGCTCCCTCTTTATTCCACTTGCCAAGTGTTAGTGTTAAATTAGTACAGCACAGTCAGACTAAGCCTAACAAAATGACAAATGTGACATCCCCTACAACAGTTTCCCATAAAAATGTCCTCAGCAGCACAGGAAATATTGATCACTGATAATCAGAAGTAGCAGCTGATATTGAAGTAGAAGACAGGCGGATGAATGAGGTCTGATAAAATGAATGATCATCCTGCATCTCATTATGAAGTACTAGTAAGGATATATTTGACTATTTTTTACAAATGTGAAGCCAACAACTAGTGGTTTATTTATCTAGTATATGTAGCCAGTGAAACAGTCTTCTTTTTTAACGATCTGATTCCAAAACCAACATCTGATGATTTGAGAGAAAAGCATTTTTGCCACTAAGGATATTCTTTTGAATAAAAATTTTGCAATTTAAACTTTTCTGGCTCTCTCAGTCATTTAGAATTTAATTATTATATGAAAAATGGAATAACACATGGAATCCAAGTGTGGAGGTGAGTTTATTCTACAATATTCCTATAACACTTCTGTGAGGGATAACCAAGAGATATCTCTATGTACTTTTATCTATATATGTATTAAGATATTTCTTAATGTTTTAAAAACCTATGGGGCAAAGGTAAAAGTATTCTGTTGAGGAAACTGATTTGCTTAATCCATGTACATTCAAGATATATGTCCCTATTGTTTAAGTAGTACTATAATCCTGGTGAAAATATTAAATTCCCACTCATTCTCCATGGGTAAACACTACTTATTGCAAGTCAAATAAATTTGATTGTCAAATCAAGCGGTCAGATAGATTACACTTATCAAGTGTTTAAACAATTAAAATTAGAAATGTGTAATAAATTCAGAGGACTGCCCCCTCCCCTCAAAAAAAATGGTATCATTTTGCTTTTGAAAAAAAAGATTGAATGCCATATATCTAATGTACATAATAAGTTTTAATGTAAACAGTCCTGTGAGATAAAGAGGAACACACATCAAAATAGAACAGATTAAATATTAACTTAAATACTGATTGAAAAGAATTGTAGTAATGTAGAGCGATCAAGATACCACGCCTTTTATTTAAAATCATGCCCTATGTCCAAAGAGTTTTGCTTTTTAACAAATAAGACACTGAGAGTACTAATAACTTAAGTCAATTGTTTATGAAGATGAAGAAAAGGAGAAGTGCATTATGGAAGGAAAAGTCGGAGATAAGTCTCTATCACTACTTTTAACATTTTCCCTCATTATCAAAAAGTGTGCTCTTGTCAGAGAGGAATCATTACAATAATTCAAAATATATATTTTTTTCAAACTATGTGTTACAAATGCATGGATGCTAGGATATATGGTTGATCCAAGAAGATAGAACTATACTGTTATATGTAGCCATCTGTAATTGTCACAATAAGAAACCTATCTTTAATTGTTGTTTATGTATTAATATTACCTTGATAAATATATTTTGGGTCATTGTAAAAATGTACTTGTACCAAAATTAAAATAAAATTATAAAAATATACATTTTTGCCAAGCAAGAATCTTTGGCTCTTTCAATAGTATATGTAATAAATTCAACTCCATGTCGCGAGCGGGTTATTTTCACTTTACTAACAGTTATACATTCTCTAACACTACTTCTGTAACAGCTAGAGCATAGACATCTGTAAACAAGAGCGTTTGGTGACAAGCAAAATCTTGCCTTGACAACGACAGCACCTAAGAAACAGAGGACCGTTTAAAATGAGAATTTACTTCAAAATGTTTGTATTGAATGTATAACAACTTCGTGCAAGGGTCATACAATTACACAAGAGCGTCTCCAGAGCGCCCACTCACCTTGATCATCTTGAAACTCGTGACGTCTGTAGATTTAGTCCACACGACAATTCCGTTTTTGTTATAATCCTGTCTCCAACCATCGTGGTTTTCACAAATTTCTTTTAGTTTCTCAAAGTCTGAGTCCATTGCGACTCTCACCTCTCCCACCTGCATAGTTCTGTGTTAAGTTAGTATCCTGTTACTCGCTTCAAAGTTCGACCTGTCACGTTGTGTAGCATCTCTTTGAACCGGAAGTTACGCGTGTATAACGTACTCAAAGATGACAGTTGCAAAAGCATAACAACAACGGTAGTTGCGTTCGAAGCATTCGTTAGTTAAGTGAAGCAGTAACATTTTATCTCAATTCTAATATCTGTCACTATGAAAACAATTGATTTATTTAAAGAGCTTGCATTTTACTTATTAAATCATTCGTCTAATTTCGTCATGCAACCGTTAGCAGGTACTTTCTAAACATCATATCCATACGCATTGTTTATTCTATGTTTTCAGTAAATAATGACGGGTTAAACTTTATAAAAGATATAATTAAAACCAAAAATTCACTATTTCCAAGAGAAAAATGACAAACACTATAATGTTGACCCTTCCTTTAGACGTATTGTTATTTACTCGCGGATGGATTTCGCATAAAGGTTGTTAGGCTCGCTAGCCGGTGTCATCTAGCTGTGTGTTTCGTGTGGTTGTGGTGAAGAAGATAAGAACAAGTCATCAAACGAAGTATAGGTGTGACACATTTATTCTTGTTCACACATTTCTTATTGCAAAGCAAAAAACGAACGGGCTTTTGCAAGATGTCATTCAGTACTGGGGATTCCGTGCTTGATTCAACATTGACCGACTGGCTGCGATGGGACCAGGTATACATTAATTATTAATTTTTTGTAAATTGTCTGTTCTCTGCATCTAAGTCTTACTCCTATAACATGCACGGTTTAGGGAGAGATATCTGCTTAGGTACCAAAAAAGTCAATAAATTAGAAAAAGATTCGCTTTTCCAGGTTGTTGAACAGTGGTAATGAACGGAATGAAGCTTATGNTCAAGGCCTGTTTGAGTGCAGGATAATCTCCTTTTTCTGCCTCTGTCAGGGAATCATAGGTCATAAATGCCCGCCCTGATAGATATAGAGGTAAAACAACATGTCTGGGCTGTACATTGTCCGCTGGGGGCTCTGAGAAACACAACTCAAATTTCTTGAACCAGAGTTCAAAATTTTCCGTGTTTTCCCCTGAGAACTCCGGTAACTTTGGTCTGGCGACTCCAACAGATGCCATTTTGATACGGTCCCTTAGCTTTGCCCCTGTTTGGGCGCCAATTTTGTAGCGGTGCACTTCCTCAGCAATCCAGTACAACAACGCTGTGCTTTCTTTTTCATAAATTTAATAGGTTAACGATATATAAGCTACTAAGCAGTGCACAAGCTGCGCAGCGTCTGCTACGCCGCCATGTTTCTTTTCCCCCTGACGTTACCCCGGTTTATGCACACCGGCACTATATTTACCCCGTTACACTTAGTTCTACATGTAAATACGATGCACAAAGGTTTTATGTTTTTAATTTTAATAAATTGTCTTGGATAAGCTGCTTCCATATTAATGCTAAAAATTTAATGCCCGTATTTCGTGACTGGCTGTAGTCATATTTTGAAATGCTAGAAATTTTGGATATCCAAACGTTTACCCTTAACTTTTGCAGAACCCTGAATCCAAGTCTTTCATTGAGAAACTGATAGAAAGTAATAATGTGGATGAACTGCGTAATAGATTGCTGAAGAGAATGGAATTTGGAACTGCAGGTAAACTTTATTTTCTTAACTTAAAAGATTATTATTATGTATTTTATTTAGTTATTTATTTTTATTTACATATTTTTAAATTTATTTTAAGTGATAACAGCTGTAATTAAATTCTCTTTAAAGGCAAAAAAGGACAAGTTACATTGTTTAACATCTCTTTAAGAAGTTATTTTAGTTATTTACTTTATTTGTAATTGGCTTTTTTATTTATTAATTTTTTTATTTATCAAGGAAAGTGCATTTGGGATGCATGGGAGTATGAACATTTCAAGATTTTGCAGAGAGAGTCATTTTATAAGAACATTATTTTGTCATCTTTAGTTATGACTACTTACACATAAGACTTTCTCATACCATGTACTGTATTTAAACCCAATGTTTCCAATGTCAGGTTTGCGTGCAAAGATGGGAGCTGGTAACTCTATGATGAATGACTTGACAATCATACAGACATCACAGGTAAGATGTACTAAGATTGCTGCAATCTTTGTCTTCCAAAGTAAAGGCCTGCAGAAAACTCCATCCCTAACAAAATGTTAATAAAATTGAAATCTATAGAAAATTAATAATAAAATTAAATTTAAGCTGAAATTACCACTCTCAAACAATTGTCCATTTTAGTTGGCATGGTTTAAAATTTCAGATTATGTAGTGCATATTTTTAGATAATAATGTTTCACAATTTAATTTTTAATCCTCATTTGTTCACAGTGCTAAGATTTATGTGGAGTTTAGTTTTTAGGAACTTATTACTATTATTATATGTCTGTAATGTTTCAGATGTTCTTTGTAAATGTGCATCTGAAAGAAATGCTTATTTTTAACAACAAAATAGGCATCTTATATTTCTTTATTATGATAGGAAAATATTCTTATTTTAGGGATTGGCAATGTATTTGGTCAGCTCTTCTCCCCATGTAATAGAAAAAGGAGTGATGATTGGGTTTGATGCCAGACACAATAGCCAAAGGTTTGTAACAAATACTGTTGCATGAGCATGAATTTTGAAGCTTATCTATTGGTCAAGAAGCAGTGATGCAAAGTCCATTTTTCAGTGAGTTGACCTCCTAGTCTGTCATCTTGGATCTCCATGGCCACTGCAAATGCTAAATATGTCACCAAGAAGTTCTCGGTGTGTCTCAGTTATTTTCACTTATCTTAAAAATTCATGGTTGTGTAGCAAAGCAGTTATAGACTTTGTGTTTCAGTCATCTCATGTCTAGGTTCAACCCAAAGCCAGCCAAGAGATAGTGATCAGTTTTAGACTGCAACTAAGACCCCATTTCCAGAGATTAGATCGATCTACTTTAGATCGACCTAACTCTCTGGGGGTTCACGCTAAATTGCAGTCAGCTGAGCTGGCACCATAGTTAATTACCCCTTTACAGCTTTTAGTAGGCGGGACAAACGCTTAAGCCGGCCAAGCTGACAGTAATCTAGTGAGACTCCCCACAGGGATAGATCGATCTAAAAATCTATGGAAATGGGGTGTATATTGTTTCATTAAAGAAAGGCATTATTTCACTTGTTTACCAATTAAATCAGAAGTAAACCTTTCAACAAAATTCCCTAGCACCAGATTATGGTTTGTATTGTTGAGATTATATTGGCAGTTACAGTATCAGTATATTAGTTTATAATATCAATGCTCACATATTTTCTAGTATACCACTGAAATGAAGCTAGACAGGAATTTCAATAGTAGCGAGTAATATCTGTATAAAGTCTTGTCTTACTAACAGTCTTGTCCGAGTTACCTTCTGGAAAGACTTCTTTCATATACTGTATAAGCTATAGTTCAATTTATAACGAAAATTGCATAGCTACACTGGAAAAGTTCCAGTATTAAGAAAGTCTACCAACTACATGTATTAAGTGAGGTAACAGAAACAGTTGTGTGTTTGATGTAATAGCAGTATTTTCTGCAATTTCAGCTCTCTGGGCAAATTGATTAATGACATGATTAATCTTTTTTCCATTGCTTTATTTAGGTTTGCACAGCTGGCTGCCATTGCTTTCCTCCAGAAGAACATCCCTGTTTACCTGTTTTCACAGATATGCCCAACCCCTTTTGTTGTAAGTTAAAGCAACTTTTAAGATACTTTTTAGTAGGCACTTCTTTGGTTATCAGACTAAGAGTACATTTGCAAAATAAGTTGGAAATATAAAATAAACCTACCTGGGTAGGAATAATAGTGTTTTTTCATACTTGTAAAAATGTTTCTAGTAATAAGCAGAAATGCTATTTATCCTTTGGACAATTTTATTATATATATATATATATATATATATATATATATATATATATATATATATATATATATATATATATATAATTTTTAATGCCTACAGCCATATGCCACCGTGAAGCTAGGGTGTGTGTGTGGTATTATGGTCACCGCATCCCATAACCCTAAGGAGGATAATGGATATAAGGTAAACAATTACAGTTTTTCTGGGGTGATATCAGTCTGTATTTTGTTCTAGTCAGATATTGTGAAAATCTCCTGTGGTGTTCATCCGAGGTGAATAACATTAGCATTTGAAGAGTAGAAAAATTATTTTACTTTTTTATTTAGTCCTTTAGAATATGTTGGATTCCAGTTCATGCCATTAGTATCTTTTTTTTTCCTTTTTAATGTCATACCGTATATTTGATACATACAACTCAAGTGAATAAAATAATAAATGATATTTGTGTTTTTTGTGTTATTACAGGTTTACTGGGAAAATGGCGCTCAGGTAAGTACATTTGCCATTTTAGGTTAGCGGTTAAAATTTCACATCTCTGCCAAGGATATTTTTATAATAGTCCATGAAACCTAAATATCTGTATGTTGTTACAAGAAATGTAATTTCTGTGGCTATGTTCACCTCAGTTTAACTTGAGGTTCCTGTTTCAGATTATATCTCCACACGACAAAGGGATTTCCAAGAGTATCACTGAGAACCAAGAACCTTGGCCTGAAGCCTGGAAAACGGACAGTCTGGATAGTAACCCACTTCTTAAGCAACCTTTTGAAGAAATCAAATCCTCCTATTTCCAGGAACTGCAAAAAATCTGCTTTTTCAAGTGAGCTCTTTATTGATTTGTTAATTTATTTATTAATTTTTCACTTATTTCTTTTTCCCTTTGTACTTTGCAGTACTGATTTGTTCTGTTGTTTAATTGGTTTTATAGGTTTTATTGTATGTGATATTAAAATTTCAACAGTCTTAAAGGTTTTAACAAGTACATGGACATATTGTTTGAATCAACTTGCAGAGAACTGAACCCATCTTCCCCACTGAAGTTCACCTACACAGCCATGCATGGTGTGGGTTATCAGTTTGCTGTGAGTGCATTTGAGGCATTTCATTTCAAGCCCTTCACTCCAGTTTTGGAACAGGTAAGAAGAAAAAACAATGAGTGCATTTTAGTTAAGTAATCTATGGCCTTCCTAGACTTTGCCAACTGAGGGTTAAGGATACAGTGTAAAAGGACACCCATATTAATTTTAATGGATATTTTGATTGATGATTATAAAGACTTGTGTAGAATCACACTTGGGCCCTTTCAAATAATCAGTTGTGATAATTTCATTCCCAGTTTTATAAACAACCCATTAGTCCTTTATAGATAAGCAAGGTGCACTAGTTTACTCAAATGATTAACATGCATACTTTCTCTTGAAAGATAGTTCCTGACCCAGAGTTCCCTACAGTGAAGTTCCCAAATCCTGAAGAAGGGAAGAGTGCACTGGTGAGCTTAAGGACACATTCCCATGGACACCATCGGTCTACGTAGATCAGTCCAACTCTCTGGGGACTCTCGCTGAATGCAATAAGTTTTTAACAGATTAACACGCCTCCTCCTGATGTCAAGTAGAATACAGAAAAGCTGCTGATTATGCTAGAATGTTGGAAACAAGAGGGGGAATGTCATTTAGTCAAGTTGATTGCACTCAGCAAGAGTCCACGCAGAGTTGGGTCAATCTACTTAAATCAGTGCAGGATCTATGGGAATGGGATCTTAGACACCTGAGCTTCAGAGGTTACTAGATAATAATCTTCATTATCAGTTGGTCTCTGCAGTTATTTCCACTAATAGCAGTGGCATGTTGATAATAGAGTTTAGACTAGGTTCTGACAGATTTAAATCGATCCATCTGAATCAACCTTACTCCCTGGGGTTCATGCTAAATTGCTGTCAGCTTCCGGGAGCCAAGCGCGCAAGAAAGTTAATTGCCCCCTTACAGCTTTTAGTAGGTGGAACAGACATTTAAGCTGACAGCAATCTAGTGAGACTCCCCAGGGGGATAGATCGGTCTAAATATCTGTGGGAATGGTCTCTTAGTTTGCAACAATCTTGGAAATTCAGGGTGTAGGTAGGTCTTGCTTTGATGAAAGATTTTTTTATTAATGACAAATAAACCACTGAATAGGTCATTAAATACATTTCTAGCTCCCTTCACTATGTACAGTATACACTCTCAATGTAATAAGTGTCAAATTTCTCTTAAAAACTTAGAGATAATAAAAAATTTAATGTGAAATTAAGCTAATTCAACAGTTCACAGAAATCATGTTCTTCACATTTGGGGCAGATCAGACACTATATGAGATATTTCTCGTGGTGATTTTTATTTGATAGGTAACATGGTATTTATCTATGTTGATCAGGATTATGCCATGAAGACAGCTGATGAAAACCACAGTATGGTGATACTAGCCAATGACCCTGATGCTGACCGCTTGGCAGTGGCTGAAAAGCAACCAAGGTATCATGATAATAGTCATCAAAATTTATATTTTAAAGGCTTTTTCTATGTTGTTTATAAGTGATATGAAACAGTTATGTAGTTTTAAAATGGTGCTGAATGATTTTGGAAAGGATTGATTATATGTATATTGTGACATTTTAATGAAATATATATTTATCCTATTTACAAATTTGGGGGCCAAGGTTTTGAGGTGATTTTTTATAAGGCATTGAAAAAAATATAATTTCAACATGTCAGTTATTGCAGGAATTTTACCCAGGGATGAGGTTTTTTTCTACTATAAGCAGATTTCTGAGTTTTTGGGAGCAAAAAAAAAAAATAGCCTAGCCATCCCTGTGGACCCCAGGCTACTTTTACTAAATGGCAGTCTCATACCTGTTTACCTGAAAGTGTTTGGTATAGGACAACAGTGCTTTTTTATATGTTTTAGTGGAGAGTGGCATGTGTTTACTGGCAATGAACTGGGGGCATTGTTTGGATGGTGGCTGTGGTTTACCTTTAAGAAGGCAAATCCAACAGAAACTGGTGAGTTTTGGGATTAATTTTGTAGAGCACAGTATACATTTGACTTAAAACAATGATGATAGGACGTGCAAGCCACTCAATAAATCAAATGATTGTAAGTTCTTCCAACATTCATGTCACAAAGGTTGCAAATAGTTCCACCATATTAAGCATTATATAAATTACAGAAATAAATATTAGATGCACATGTTTGTGTTATTAATATTGATATGTGTCATGTATATGTGATACATATTCAGGGGCTGATGTTTACATGTTTGCCAGTACTGTGTCCTCTAAGATCCTTCACAGCATGAGCAAAAAGGAAGGTTTCAATTATGAGGCAAGTTAACCTTTTTTTAAATTGCAAAATAAAAAGCCACTATACACTTAACATTACAGTACACAAAAGGTTAAATAGAGAAAATATGTAGAAATAAGTAATTTTTTTTCTTGTGAACAGATTATGTCAAAAATATATTTTGTCAGACTTTTTGTCTCTCTTGTGAACTTAACTATCTTTTCTGAACTTAATTTTTTCTCAGCCATAACTAATATAACAGCATTTAGAGAATAATGTAGATTAAAGAAAACGAATTGCTTGAATATTAATGTATCATTTAATTTCAGGAGACACTGACAGGGTTCAAATGGATGGGAAATCGTTCACATACGGTGATACAAGAAAAGAAACGCGTGGTGTTTGCCTTTGAAGAGGCTATAGGTAAGAAACCAGTGCTCTGCATTCTATGCTTAATGGTATTATCATAATTGCTGTCACTCATAACACACTCAATGATGAATGTGGTACATTTTTACTTCTAAAACTATCATAGCATGAAGCACTTTTTCCAAGGAAATGTGTAAAACAAAATTTAATGATGCTCTGTAAAATGCAGAAAATGCATTAAAAGCATGTAAACGAACAAAACTGTACAGCTGAAATGTGATGACATGTTTTTATGTTTGTTCTTTTTGTGTTAATGAAAGTAATGAAGCATAGGTAGTGTACAAACTATTACTCTGTTCATCTGTGTGTGTGTGTGTGTGTGTGTGTGTGTGTGTGTGTGTGTGCACATGTATGCTTATTTTGCATGTAAAACCGAGCAATCAACCTGATGTCTATTATGTTTGTCATTTCAGGTTTCATGTGTGGGTCCATGGTACTGGATAAAGATGGCGTCAGTGCTGTGGCAGTGTGTGCCGAGATGGCTACGTATTTATATCACAACAACCTCACCATTATGAAGCAGTTAGACAAGATATATGAAATGTGAGTGGCTGCCTCTGAATGTGTGGATAAATGAAGACCAGTTGTCATTGTAGTATGGCAGACTAGCTCCCAAAAACAGGGATGAGATTTTTTCAACAATTGGTTGATGTCCCACTTTGCCTAAGCAACCTGCTGGACTCCACATCATATTTTCCTACTTTTTCACCAAATGGCATGCTCATCCCTGCAAAGTGTGTGACTGAAAAGCGTTGTAGTTTTTTATATATTTTGAAAAATGCAGTGCAGTTTTGGTGAATAGAGAATATTAATTTTAAATGATGTAGAAATATTGTTTTAGAATATTGATTTTCAGTTTTAGAATATTGATTTCAAGTTTTGTTATACTACAATCATGTAGTTGAATTTGAGAAAAGTGTGTTGAATTTTAAAATAGTTTGATAGTACACATACTAATAGGCTGTAGTTATATGTACAGCCATAGACNCTAATTTTTGCTGAGGGTATTATCTAAAACGTATGCAAATATTTTTATCCCTCTTCTTCAAGAACCTGCAGAAAAGATGGTCTTTCTGACAAAATGATCTCAATGTAGATAATGTGAATCTCTGCTAAGAGGCAGAACTATTCCTCCCTCAGCAGGGGGAAAAGAGTTATAATTTCCAGTTTGAATCGATTGTCCAATAAGGAAGGATTACATGTTTTCCCCCACAGATGAGTATTTTGATATGCCCAGGTTCTGATTGAGACAAAATAATGAATAAATGACTCTCTTGCAGTGAATTTCATTGGAAACTGTTGATGTATTAAAAGTTATAATCCTGACATAGCAGAAATCAACACCTGGTCCAGGTGTACAGCTGAATAAGCCATATACCTGAGTATTCACCTGAGTTGACTAGTTCTCTTACAGCTGTTCAAATCAAACATTTCCTTTGTGCATACAGAAAGGTCAGAAACCCACGCTTCTGTTATTATTGATGAATGTAAGCAAAGGGATTAGAGTAGGGTTTTTTGATACAGTGTATGTGCACTGTTATGTATTATATGTATGTGACGTAATGTGATGGTATTTGTTTTATTTGCAGTTAAATGTCCAGGGCCTATAAGAAACAGAGACTTTGTCACTCAAAGGTCATGGCTAGCAACAGAAAAGGAATATTTGATTCTCAATCATTCAGTTAACCATGAGGTGGGACACAAAAGTGCTAAATCCATTTATTGTTTTAATAATTAAATGTTACCAAATAATGAATGCTGACTTGACAAATCTAATCTATCCATTTATCACTGTTAATGGCTGATGTATCAGTTTTCTGATAAAAGTTTTTTTTAGTGTAATGACTGATAATAATTATAGGTCATACAACAGCATTTGTTTCACATACACACATACTCACACAGCTTTGTACACAGGCACACACACACCTGATGCAACATGTACAAAACTGTTTTTTTTTTTATTATTTTGTTTATTTTAGTTAGTTCCAATCAAGAAGGGCTTCCTTCGTGGCATGTCCTATCTCACGGGCTATGTGATGCGCCCTCTGGAATCAAATTCCAAGGGTTGCCAACTTTACTATGTGACACAGTGTGATCCTAAAGGTATGTAGGTGACAACAGAGAGATGAACACCCTGTAGCTCTTTTGGAATTGAGAAAAGGAAAATTATTTGACAAAAATGAATGGGAGAAGATAATCTTGAAAGTGTCATAACTGTTGTGCCTTTAAAGCCGCAATTGTTGGGTGTACTTGGGGGCTCTGAGTGAAGGTGCTTTTGAAATAAGCCCCAAGAATAATCCTCCCCTGGCAGTTTTATTTAATCGAAGCTGGGTTCAAGGACAGGTTCATGTGTTTATTTTGATCACTTAAGTACTTGGAAACTTGATCCTGTCTATTGAAAAGCACTTTTAGCTTTGGCTTGCCATACAAAATATGTAAATACCAAATAAAGACATTTTGCATGTTTGGGAAAAAACAATGAATAAGAAATAAAATTACTGAATTCCAAATTTGTTTCAACAAAAGGCTCCAAAAGATTTCAATCCACAAGTTGCATTTCACAAAAATTCTAAAAGATGACCTACATTTTGTTTTTCCATTAAAAAAATTAATGAATTTCCATTACAAGTGTGATATTGTCTAGACATTGGCTTACAGCTGTGTGGTTGGAATAGCACGCTAAAATATGTGTGCTACATTTATTATGGACTAATTTAGGCAGACCAATAATTATGTGATAAATACTGTCAGACTAATATCAAGTTTGACTTCAAGCACAAATCCATTTCAATTTAGCCAGCTGAAAATGCAACTTCAGCAAAACATAGGACGATCATGATTATCAGACTTTGCAAATTAATTAGATAAAAGATGTTTCTTTTTTTTTTTCATTTTTTCTTAATTTAACATATTTTAGCTTATTGCACCCTATAGTCCAATTGTCTGTGTACTTTGGCATATTATTCACAAGCTATCACATAACAGGAACGATCAATTGAGTTTAGTTACCCATTTATCTCATGCAAAAATGTGCATTTAAAGATTATTTCCTGAAAATATGCTGCAGGAGTACTGCTTCTCTTGTTTGGGATAAAATTGAGTGGTTTTGTAAATATGAAGAGCGCTTTACTTGCCAATGTGTTTGAAAGGTACTTTTTTAAGCCATTGAATTTATTACTGTTTAAGGTGCATTTTTTAAATATTGATTATACTTGCTACTTGGGAAGCATTAAAAAAGTTAAGAATAAAAGTAAATTCTTCAGTCATTGCCAGTTTATTGAAGAACCAATTGTAAAATTTATACAATTTTTACATTTCAGGCAAATTGCCAAGTTGGGGAGTTAATAAACTTACAACCATGCTGGCTCCTAAGGTAACAATTTTAAATGTTTAGCACCAACATTTCTGCAAATTGTGTAGTTATGCGTCATCTGTTTTTGCATAAATCTGTGACACACAAGTTAAGGAAAGGAGCAAGGGTCAATGCTACAGATCCTAGGAAAACTCCAGTGAGAGTATCACACTCACACACACACACACACACACACACACACACTATCATCTGATTCCCTTCTACAAAGTGTCTTTGGCCTGTCATGCCATTTGAATCCTGAAGTCATAGGGTGTATTCCCAGAGCTTTTAGATCAATCTATCCATACGGGGAGTCTCACTAGATTACTGTCAGATAATCCGGCTTAAATGTCCGTCCCGCCTACTACAAGCTGTAAGGGGGTAATTAACTTTCGTGCCCGCTCGGCTAACAGCTATTTAGCGTGAACCCCCAGGGAGTTGGGTTGATCTAAAGTAGATCGATCTAATCTCTGGGAATGGGGTCATAGACTTTTAGCAATAACCATTAGAACCCCATGGATTTGACCCTGGATAACACCTTACACAATGCCATCTAAAGGGTTAAAACTACCTTACACAACACCATCTGAAGGGTTCAAACTAGGTGTTCTAGTACACTTCTGTTTTCTAAGGTTGCCCCATACTGATATTTTCCTGTGTTAAGTAAAAAGTAAGGTGGCACTGCTGATACCAAAGGAACAATAGGAGCAAACTATCATTCCACTTAATACCATATCGTTGTATGCTAGTGAGTAAACCTAGATCACGAAACTGCATTCAGGACTCTTTCAACAACAACAACAACAACAAAGAAAAAATTCAAATTTTCACCTTATTGTACAGTTTGACTTCAAATCTTGGCAAACATAAAATGTTTTTGATCATTTTAAGGAGTTTATTTTGTCCCAGAAGATGACTGATTACTGCTCAGCAGTGTTGTCAGTTATTTTTCTACAAAGATTCCCTATAAAACTTTCAACTTCCAGGATTAAGTCTGCAAATATTTTTTGTAATGATGGATTAGAATGGGACCCAAGTGTTAAATCATGTTAATATAAAGTGCTTAATGGTTTTGAATCCCTCTTAAAAAGATTAAAGCCAAGCAACAATTAATTGAAGCATTGAAAATTGTGGCTTGTTATTCAGAACATTGTCAATGTGTTTAGTGTGAGAGTAAGGGAAAATTATAGTCTTCTTGTTTGACCGATTTTGCCACTAGAAAGTTGAATTAATGATTGAGGGGGAAAAAATCTCAATTGCACCTCTTCCATGTTTAAAATCACTTCTAAATGCATTTGACTGTGGGAAACATCAATATGTCATGAGAAACAAGGTTAGTGCTATAAGCCAAGTCAAACAGACAGTCATATTTAATAGATACGGTAAAGTCTTGAAAATTTCGTCGCTTAAAAATTAATTAATATTTTTAATTGTGTAAATCCGACTAATTTTTCAAAATTACCTCTCCCCGACTCCTGGGTATGACGAAATTTTCAAAAATCCGGCCTTTGGGCTTTTATCCTAAGTCATTTTCTGGTGGTAAATAATAATCTATTTATTAGTGCATCTATATATTTAACTTACTGTACCCGAAAACATGTTGAGAATTATTTTCTCGGTAAGAAACATACCTCCTGATAGAGGAGAAGGATCAAGATAAGCCTAATTGCAACCTTGCATCATAACCTGGACGCGACATGTTAAAAAAAAATATGCACTTGGGAACGTTTGTTGCATGCAGGGCTTTTCCCAGGATTGAGTGTCAGGCCTTCTAAAATTAACATCTGTAACTTCCTAAAAATTTACTGGGAGTTAAAATAATGATCTCCCGTTGACGATCTTCCGCAATTTAAGTTCCTTGAACTAATATGAAAACTGCATTTTATTATTGCTTACATCGCGAACAATCTCCCGATGAAGATGTGAAAATTGCCTTTTCGTCTAGCAAGGATCGCGAACGATCTCCCTCTGATATGATCTTACGCGAACAAAGTCCTGAGAATATTACGCGAACGATTCTCCGCCGAAGATATACCGTGAGCGGGGCAGGGGGCGGATTAAAGATAAAATGAAAATGAATATTATAAATAAAATCCAAAGTGTGTGTGTGTGTGTGTG